TGGGAACTCAACTTTGTATTACTATATATATACTCTGACCATACAAATTTAATGGGTCTTCTCATTTAGAGTTTTGATTCAAGTGTACTACAAATGTTATGTGAAGAGTTAAGGAGTTGTTAAGTGCCTGAAATAATATGAGCATACTGACAAATTTCATAGGGCATAGTGTTTCATAAAGAGGTTGAATTAATTCTGAATGAAATTAGTAAATGAACATAATAACTAATTTTGCTTATATGTATATTGAAGCGGTGATGCTTTAGGTAAGACCTCAAGGATTGATCTTACAAGTATTCATGAAATCAAGATTACGAACGTGTTAGAGCAAATATTGACACATGAAATTTTGGTTCAAATATTTTAGGGATCGTTTAGTTCGAAGCAAGTTATTTTAGGATAAGTTATTTTGAGATTAACTATTCTGAAATAACTTATCCTATTATATAAATGAGATAATTTATTTTATCACTATGATATAATTGAATAATATGACATCAAACGGTTATATCTTCCTTATACGAGTTTAAAATTAACAAATTCGATGACGTTGTAAAGAAGGTTTCAACATCTTTCATTTGATATGTTATAGGCCAACTCATCATATACCAAAAATTATGATTATTTAAAATTGACCAAAAACTCTTATTTTAAGCTTAATTAGCAAAATTTCAAATTTTGCTATTGCTATTTCTAATTTAGTTCTTTCAGAAAAATAAAAATCTTCTTAGGTCCTCTTTAATAAAAATCTTTTAGGACCATAAAAAAAAATAATGGGGCTCATTTTTCAAAATATAGCTGTCGAACATAAATAATGGAGCTTTGATTTAACGTACAGCATACATAGATCTGCCAACATAGAAAGATTTTCCTAGTATAAAATTTTACATATTTTAATAAAATATTTAATTTTAATTTTAATTTTTTCATTTCATCTTTTATAAGATATTTTCAATTTTTTTTGTTTGTTTGTATTTAGTCAAATATCTTCCCGTGATTGAGAAGTATTCAATTTACATGAAACAGACTCTAATGAATTCTCATTTCAAGGAGTGGACCAGAGTTCAGAATTGACAAAAATAAAGTTAATGCCACCCCTTGTTGGACAAATCACGTATACTACAAAATTATTTCATTTTCCTTGTTTATTTTTGATTTTATATTTAATTCTTTTTTACTTTTATCATTTTTAACAAATAATAATATTTTTTCCTTATTACGTTCTCAATTTATTTATAAAATTAATGTTTTTGAAAAAGTAAAACCTTGTTAATCAGTAAATTGATTTTGAAATATTATCAATTAAAAGAGATAAAATTGTAAATTCACTATGTCAATTATTATTTTTTTGAAAAAAGTTTTGAAATATGTTAAATTTTTAACCAAAATTATTATAACAATTCCAAACTTTGAATATAATTTTTTAAGATGTATTCAAGTAAAAAAAATGAAGAACTAAATAGGGTATGAAATATCAAATAATAGAAGTAAATTTAATTTTTTGGTTAAATTTATTGTGGATAAATCAAACTAGTATTACTTTTTCTGTTCATTATTTTAAGGAATTGTATTTGTTATATATTATATATAAAATCACGACTTACCCCTTTATAGCAATCCCACTAAAGTGGTTTGTTTCTTTGGTGCACTATACGTGTATATGATTTTATGGCATATCACCTGAGGGTCTTGGAGTTGTGTGATAACATACTGCATTGGTCATTACGATGAATATGTTATTGGATTATAATGTGATGAATAATTATGTTTCAAAGTTATATGAAGCAAAGCTTTACTCATGGTCTCTTATCTTATTTATATGATCGTGAGAGGTTATGGGGCTCCACATGATCATTGCACTTATAGGTTGAGGATGAGATTATTGATAAGTGTTTTTTATGTTATGTTTATATGATCTTTTGATTATGAAATGTTCACATGACTTTATGATAATATGTCTTCGCTTATGATCATGCTTTATGTTAATGGAATCCTTAACTAGTATATGTTCTATGGTATGTGCATTGAAAAGGGAGAAAGCACCAACTCTTTTAAAGTCCAATTATATATATATATTTATATATATGAAATAAACATTTTAACTTCTTTTAAGTTAAAAATAATAACTATCTATTTTTTAAAAAAAAATAAAAATAAAAATCACACAACACATCCATTTGCGTCAAAGGAAAAGGTATGTAAAATTAAAAAAACAAGTAAATGTGAAAAGAGAAAATGTAAGGTAGTTCTCTAAAATTTCTAAAAGATAATTTAATTATGGGGGTGTTTTATCATATTAATACGAAATTTTAAAAAATAAATATCATCATACACTAATGACTGCATGACACGTGATAATTAATTTAAAATATAATTATATTTATCTTAAATTTTGCTTTATCCTTTTCTTTTTTATTTTTTCTCTTACTTTTTGACTAATTTTCAATTTTTTCTTTAATTTTAAATTTACCTTCCCACTTCACCCATCTCCCACGTCAGAACTGACCCGCTCCCCTCATTTTATTTCTTTTTTTCTTCAACTCCCATACTGCATATAGGTGTCACTCTCTCTACATGTGAACAAACCACACAAGACGCAACATGAATTTAACTCCTTTTCATTATTTATTCTTTTCATTTTTCAAGTATATATTTGGATGAAAATCATATCTTATAATTAAAAATTTATTTATTATTTTAAATCATCACACATGACTTCTATTTAATTAATAAAAAGATATGTATTCACTCAACACATCCATTCGCCCCCCACACCCCACTCCCAGCACCTATTTAACATACAGTACACCCATTATGCGCACGTGAAAAGGTAGTAAATTCTTCTTCTTCTTCTATATAATAAAAAATAAAAACTAAATTTTTAAAATTTTATTTGTGTCATATAAATTGAAACAGTGAAAATAATGTATATTATTAGTGACAATAATTAATGATAAACGACATTTGATTGAATTTTAAATTTCACACGTGATACATAGATTGAGATTATTATTTGACAATTAAAATTTAAATTAACAAATTACAATAACTGACAACTAAATTTTTATTTTTATTAAAAGTTTGATTGAATTTCAAAATTTCATGTGTCGAATAAATTGAGATAGAAATAGTTATATATATATATGTATATCAATTGAAAACTATTTTAGAAGTATTATAAATCATAATGATTAATATATAATTTAAAGTAGTTAAAATTTAACATGATTCAAAATACATAAATTAATGGACTTATTTATGATATTTTCTTCTCAACACATTGAAGTATATATTTGGAAAAATGATGAATCTAAATTTTAGGCTGTCTGTTTAAATTATTATTTTCATATGCAAACATTAAAAATACGGTTGTTGGTATTCGGTAGTTGTTACTTCATATCTATATATCCTTGTTTAGAGTAACACTCCAATAAGTCTTCAAAAAAAAAAAAAAATACTAATAGTTATACTCCACAACATCTTCACACATGGATAACAAAGATGATGTAGCTGTTGTGATAGCTCCATTACATCTTCAAAGCCATCTCCGACAACTTCTCCATTTTGCATGTAGAATTTCCTCCTATGGTCTACCGGTCTACTATCTCGGCTTAGCCGCCTCTAACCGTGAAGCTAGGCAACACTCGACTACCTTAAATCCTTGTGACATAGAGAAAATCCACTTCCATGACCTCCAAATTCCTAATGAAGATCCTCCTCCAGATATTCCCATGCATATTTGGCATGCTTCTATGCGAACACGTGAACCCATTGCTTCTTTCCTTGGAGATATCTCCTCAAAGGCAAGACGAATTGTTGTTGTTCATGATCTTTTAATGTCCTATAATGTTCAGGATATTTCTTCATATCCCAATGGAGAATCCTATGTATTTCATTGCCTACCTATTTTCGATATGTATTGTAGTCACTATGCCCCAGCTGCAGGATTCCCTATTCCACTTGAAGAAGCGCTTCTTAAAAGGCTACCTTCCAATGATGGATGTTACAACCCTGAGGATGTGGAGCACCATGCTAAGTATCTAAATCATTGCATGGGCAAGAATGCTGGTGATATCTTTAACACAAGTCAAGTAATTGATGGTACTGCTATTGTTGATTCCATGGCAAATCTTGCCACCATGCAAAACAAAAAGTTATGGGCATTAGGACCAATTCTCCTTACACAAGATCATGATAAGGTCCAAACCAAACACTTCTGTTTGGATTGGCTTAACAAACAGCCTCCTAAATCAGTTATTTATGTGTCTTTTGGAACATCTACTTCATTTTCAGCTGAACAAATCAAGGAGCTAGCAATTGGTTTAGAGCTAAGCAAACAAAAGTTCATATGGGTACTTAGAAATGCTGATGTAGGAGATCCTGTTAACAACAAATGCGAAGAGAATAGATCAGGAACACTTGAGTTGCCAGAAGGATTTGAAGAAAGGGTAAAAGGGGTTGGCTTAGTGGTGAGAGAATGGGCACCTCAACAAGAAATCTTCGCTCATCCCTCTACTGGTGGCTTCATGAGTCACTGTGGATGGACTTCGTGTTTAGAAAGCATTATTGAAGGTGTGCCAATAGCCGCTTGGCCTATCCAATTTGATCAACCAAAAAATGCTTTTCTAGTCGCGGAAGTGCTAAAAATAGGGCTCCATGTTAGGGAGTGGGAGCAGCGGAATGAGTTAGTGACTGCTTCCACCGTTCAAAATATAGTTTGCAAATTAATGGCATCGGAAGAAGGTGATATGATTAGGAAAAGAGCACAAGAACTAAGGACGGCTGTAAAGCGGTCCACGGAGGAAGGTGGTGTTTCTCGAATGGAGTTGGATTCTTTCATCGCGCATATCACAAGATAGAATGTTACTAGTTTAAGATTGGTGAGTGTCCTCAATGTTCCTATTGTTATCAAGTATTTTGGTTGTGTTGTTGGTAATTTCCTAAATAAGATAAAGGGTGCTAGTCTTTTCTTGAATTCTACTTTCTACTGTCTCTTTACGTCCCTTTGATGGGGACACCAATAAAATTGAAACCATTTAGAAAAGATCAGCGCGACTTTTGCGCAAGAATGTCACCCACAAATCAAGAAATGATCCAAATCTTTTTGAATTTGAAAGAAGATCTCATTATTTTTTCTTTTTAGTCCGTTTTAAAATTATTAATATCTTTTTATTTTTTTCATATTTTTGTAATTCCAACTTTCATCTGATACTTCTAACGTTTATGACGATTGGATATCCTATTTGGGTATTATTATTAATCCTAACAGCCTGTCTCTCTTTTTTTGAAAAAAAATTAATTATGACCATGGGGTCATTTTAATTTATATATATAAAAACGATATTCTTACCATCTTTATATAGTATGCTATTCTTAGTTGTTAATCGCAAGCCACATTTGCGGAGATATATAATAATTATGGTTCATTTATTTACACTTAATGGAGGTTCATATCTTAATCATTCAGAGTCAGCTCTTTAAGTAAATTTGGTTTTCCAATCTGAATCTGAATCATTCAGATTTATCTCATTAAGTTCATTTGTTTTATTTTTTAAAAAAACCTCGTAAATGGTCTGAACGAACCAGATTTGTAGGAGACTCTTAACAATATTCAGACTCATTTAATAAGATATCAAATAATTAAAAATCATGGTTTCTCTGCTTTGGGTGTGCTATTTTATCTCATAATTAAAAACTTTCTTTCTCACTTCTGTTAATCAAACACCATTGTTTCTCAACTAGTAAGTTTTCATAAATCCTTTCAAGTTTTTTTTATATTAATAATTTTCTTATATTGATGTGTGTCAAAACTCAAGAACATTGGTTGCAATAATATTTTTGGTGTGTGTTGTTTATCAAGATTTTTGAATGAAAAAATAGTACTCCAATCATGATTATTAAAACTTTTTTTTAATCAAAAGTTGATATATTTTGTTGAAAGGAAAATTTTATGATATTTTAATAATATATAATGTTCAATTTCACTTTCACATTCAAATATTGAAAACAAATGCATTAATTATTTAGTGTTTAGATTTAGATACCTCATCTTAATATTCAGATGTATATTTAGATCAAGAAACACCTAGATTTTAATGCAAATCTTAATATTCAGGTGTGTATTCAAATTCAGATCTCTTAGTCTTAATGAAAACAAATGAAGCCTAAATTGGCCCAACCTTATCTATAATGACGAGAAACAACCATGTTGAAACTTGAAGCCACTATTTTCTATAATATAGTAAGGGAAAAGAGTATTATATATCTCCCAATTTTATTATTTAGACATGATATATTTTCGTTATGAAAGAAACTTATATATATCTTTATCGTTATACAAATGACCTATATATACCTCTATCGTTACAAAAGGAGCTCACATATACATTTTATCCGATTTAAGTGAAAAAATAGTTTAAATTTATATTTTTAACTATTAGTTATTAAAAAAATCACGTAGGTCCTTCTAGCAAAGTTTAAGGATATTTTAGTCTTTTATCATACATCAATTGTGTTTTGACTTCATTGACTATCATCATTTGAATTCTTTTTCTTATTTTTTCATCAATTCTAAGTGTACAGGAAAAAAAAATTAAAAACTAATCTTTTTTATGGTTATACTATAATTTAAACTATTTTTTCGGCTATATTGTACTGTAGTTTTTTTAAAAAAATTGGGGTATCTATAATATATTTTACAAGAAAATTTGTGAAACCTAAATAAATTTGGCCATCGATAATTGAATTTAAACTAGTTGTTGAAACAAAAATGTCAAAAAAACATGTGTGAGAAAGATCAAATATACCTCAAATGGATTATATTTTTCTAAAAAAGAATGAATAAAAAATTAAATTAAAATTTTGTACAAAAAAAGTATATGTGAGACATTCATATAATATTGGAATATATATGAACCACTTTTATAAAGAAAATGTAAATCAACTCAAAATGACAATGGCAAAGGACCTTTACGCTTGTTGAAAAGTACATATTGAGAGAGGAGCATTTGAGTGAAACCACTTTTGCTATAATAAAGAAAAATATGTATAGAGATACGGAGCTTTCGAGAGATTGATTAAAGTTATTCACCTCTTGTTTATTGTTGCGTTAGAATGCACACAAGTGCATGCAATCATATAAATAATATAAGATTTTAAATTAAGATATCTTACCCGCAGAAGATTTATCGATGACTAATTTACTAAATCAAACTAATGTTTTAATTTATTCAAGCAATAAAATTTAAAGGTTATCTTACTAGAAGCCAACTAAAGAATGATACACGCAGAACATATTTTTACGTAATCAAATAATGAAATCGAACTAGGATTATGAATTAATTAGTCATCATATTGAGTAATCACTTGAACAGTTTTTAATTATCTGTTGTGTTACTAGTTGCAAGTTGATAATACTTTATTGAACGTTTTGCTAACAATTTTAAGTGTTTGGATTAATTTATTTTTAGGTGTTTGACTTTTAAGTAGTTTTTTTATATATAATTTTGTAGGTGTTCAAAAATGTTATGAAGTTCTATTAAGCACCCACTATTAGGCCAAAAAAAGTTTTAAAATAAGGTGAAAGTAGGTGTCACGATCCAATCCATCAGGCCGTGTGGGCACCCATTCTAACACCTAAGTAGGAGAACTCTCATATCCTAATAGAGAAAAAATGTGGAAATTAAAGAAGACGGACAACAAAATTAAGAAGATTAAATAATTAATTCTTTTTAAATACACTTTTTGTTAAACGTGTAAAATAATTTAACAACCCCGGGGATCTAGTGTAACAGGTACAAGAGCTACTATGAATAACGATGGACAATAAGACACAGCTCCCACCATGCGGAAGAAGAGTCGAAGCTGCTGGAGAAATTCTTCGTCTTCACCTAATGAAATGTAACCAATCCTGCATTCAAACAATGTCAAAAAGACATAGCAAAAGTTGTATCAATACAACCACACGTACTGGTAGGTATCTTCGGTCATCCCAAGTCCACCTCATAATACAATAAAGAATAATGGGAGCATGCATGTACCACTCGTTTCTCCACATTTGCCCCTTTTCTTACAACACCCTTAACTTGTAACAACACTCTAATTACTAACCACTTTCTTTCCCAACTACCAACGCTTTCAGTCCTGTTAAGTCATAGCCTAAGCACTGCTAACCACATTAGATAATCTCAACCACCGCTAACATCCTTTTCCTACTAATCAAGCTTGTCACATTCTTAAAGTATCGCCACCTTATCTACCCCATCCATAAGGTTTCCCCCTTGCCTCAGTCTCTAGACATTGGCACATTTCTCCTTCGAATACTTACCCCGACAAACGCCTCGACAAATCACTCTTTTCCGACAAGTACCCTTCATAAGATATCTACACATCACCCCACACTCACATATTTACCCATGTTTCCACCTACACTAGGTCATGCTAAGATAAAAACACAATCAACACAAGTATAACCACATCATAATATCGAAATATTACATGTTTTTCACTTCAACTTATCACAAGTAGTTGGTCATCTCACAGAACCCAAACTCAAATTGTTAGTGCAGCGGCGTGGTACCCGATCCAAGTTAGCTTGTCAGAACGTGACAATCTGATTCCATAGTTGTGCCGAAACGTGACAATCTGATTCAATATTTATCTCGGAACGTGATAATTCGATCTAACTTAGCTTGTCAGAACGTGACAATCTGATCCCCAATCACACACCACAAACACAAATACAAGTATATCATCAAGATCATACAGTTACATCATGATTTCGTGGCTAAATTATTCATCTATCCAATTACCACAACGTGATCAATATTGCGACATTTCTATACATACAAGTATCATAATGAAGCAAGAACATGCATACATCACACAAATCATGAAATCAACCCCATCACTTACTAAATTTTCTTCGAATTCCTTATCACACAAGAGACTATCTTCAGCCCTAGCTCTGCGTTAGGATTCGTCATTAGGGTTTTAAACTTAAAATTACCAAACATTCAACAACGAGTTACTTCAATAGGTTTGACCTAGCATAGATCGAATTTCATTCCCTTCTACCGGATACCCTTATTTAATGAAGGAATTCTACTCAAGAAAAATAATAAGAACACTATCAATCATCAATTCACTACATCAAGCACTAATCCCAAATACATCATAAGTGTATAACTTTTTTCATGGAGTTTGCTCGGTGCACGAAGGTCCATACATATCCCATACTATTATTTTCAAATATTACACGATAAACAAGGATTCACCACTACTTAATACACAAAAAATTTAACCTACTTGGGTGCCAAGCAATTTGTACAAAGTATGGTCTCTTTTCCAACTTTTCCGGATTCGATGCGGTGAATTGGGCCAAGATCATGCAAGATTTCGATATCCCCATGCTAAAAAGTTCCTTCTTCTTCTTTTCCAAAATTGAAATAATTTTTCTCAGGTTTCTAGGGTAATTTACGACCTATATGTTATTTTTGGAAAGTTGAAAAAATAAGAATTTCACTAAACTCGATTTCTGCCTCGCCAACCCCTTTTTAATTGGATCCGTAGGAATTGGAACCCAAAATTCAAGTCTTTGATTTTTTGACGTTTTGACAGTATGGGTCATCGAAATTTTGACAGCACGTAGAAGCTAGTCGTAGGTACTAACTTCAGGAAACTCGGATATGATAGTCTTTGGTAAAATACTCTAAGTTTTTACTCTTAACTTGAAATGAGGCAACTTGGTGGCGTTGGAAAAAAAAACTCAAACACTTTCAATTTGGTAGATCATGGGCCACCTAAGTCATTATGTTGTGGAGATATGATCGTTTTAAGTTGACTTAAGTAGAATTTTATGTCAAAACTCAATAGGTAAGAAAGCTTTCAACTCAACTCTTAGGTCATATCCAAATCCATTCCGACACTAAATAATTGACCTTTTTTGCATATGAGCAATTTAAAAATTACCTGATACGATTTTACATACAAATAAAGAATCGTTCGGATCTTAGTTTAAAGTTTTTTCGGGGATTTATAGTGTGGTTTCCGAGCCAATCAATAATATGTACCAAACATGTAGTATGAGCTAATCGAGAATTACCG